GATAGATAGATAGATAGATAGATAGATAGATAGATAGATAGATAGATGTAATGTAGTGGGGGAAAGAGCTTCATTCTCCCATCCCCGTCAGCCATCAATTGCCAATAGCTACCCAGCTAGGGTGCTGCTCTGTGAAACCCTTCGTTGTCTATGCTGGAGCTTTTGTCTGGCTTGACTTTTTGCAGGTCTTGTGCATTCAGTCATGGGCCATGTGAGTTTATGTGTGCAGCAACACCATCATGTCCAGACCCCATGCCTGTACTGGTAGTGTTGGAAGTACAAAGGTCCTTGCACTCACAGATCACTAGGGAAACTAACACATGTAGCCTAACTCTAGAACCCACCTTCTTGGAAGAAGTGACATGTACTTTGAGTTGAGTTTAGATGTAATTATGCTTGTGCAAAGGAGATTGTGTTGCATCAGGAAACTTTTTTCCAGAATGTACTACACTTAAATATGCCTACACTAAACTGCTGGGGCCAAACTCTGGAAGTCTGAATCAGCCCCTGCTAAGTCATGCTGGACTTGATTTCCTTTTTGCTTCTCTCGGATTGTTACTCTGCTAGCCCTGGTGGTTCCAGAGACCCCCCCATGCTAAGTGGAATCATTGGGGTATAAAAAAGAACACATGAAATTGGGAAGGTAAAGTGGCTAAGTATGAGAGGGTTTGGAGGGGAAGAGGGTCCGGATTTGATACAGAAAATACAGTATATGCCTGTTTCAAATTTCCAAACAAAAAAATCTTTAAAAAACAAAATGTTTGAATTAAATTATCTCCAAAACCTCTCCATCCCACAATTCTATTGCATAATCTTCCTGTACAGTTGTCACTTTAAATTATTTATTTATTGTTACATGTGAGTGCATGATGTGTGTTGGGGGCGGCTACATGTACTGTGGCATATGTGTGGCTGTCAGAGAATAACTTTGTGGGTTAGTTAAGTTTTTCAGTCTAGGTCAGCCATTGTCAATGCTCAAACCTAAACCTAAACCTAAACCTTGCTGGCAGCTTCACCAGAGACAAAGCACACTCCTTGGGGAGGATCTCTGCCTTTGGATTAGAGAAGGCTGGAAGGCTCACCTAGGAGTTATGCTGCCTCTGGAGCCAGGAGAAGACAGTTTTAGGAGGAGATTCAGTTTTCCTCAGTCAGACTCTGCAGAAAGGTGAGGGGAAACAAGGGTGACCAAGGATTGCTCCTTGGTGAGAAGATCATGGTAATGATGAATGGAGGGTGGTTTCAGAGAATCATGATATAGAAGCCAAATTACAGGGACTTTTACTTTCAATGCTGTTTATAACAGGGACATTCAGACAAGAATAATTTTGTCCATATGAAATGTTTATTTAAGCCTATCTTTATGAACAAATCTTTCATCAGAAATTCCTATTTTTTCTTGCAACGGTTTCAAGGAAAAAAATGTTCATCTCCCAAATTTTCTTTCTTTCCTTCTTCAGTCTTCTCTTTCTTTTATATATTCTATGTAACCTTTTTCATTTTCAACTATATTCCTTGCCTACCTTAAACAAAGGCATTATGTCCAACATGGTGGTCTACACCTGTAATCCCAGCACTCTGGTGTTGGAAGCAAGAGGATCAGAAGTTCAAGGTCATCCTCAGCTAAACAATGAGTTCCAGGGTAGCCTAGGCTATATAAGACCATGTCTAAAACAACAACAAAACAAACAAAAACCTAAACAAAAAGTAGGAGAAAACAGGTTCAAAATAATTTGAAAGGAAAAAGACTGACTAGAAGAAACTTATTTTCCAATTACTTTCTTTTATTTTTCACTTTTCCTCAGCCATGTTCTTCCATCCTCTTAATCCCATGGGACAACACACACTTGTCCCTTTTCTAGCCCTGATTTCTGAATTCATCTGAGGAAGAAAAGACATTTGAGTTGATTCCTCCCATCTTTTCAACCTCATACTCTCCATTTTCTACCACGGATACTCTCTCGTTGGCCTCTGTCTTTCTCCTCTGCTACCCCCTGAATACGCCCATCTGACCCTGGTAGACCTGCCTGGCTTCAAGTCCCTGTGCTGTGCAAATGTTGATGGGAGAATCTCCTTTCTGGTGTTTTTGTCCGTTTTCTTGGGCTTGGTTTGGTTTTCTTGAAACAGTATCAAGTCCCGGTCCTCCTGCTTCCATCTCTCAAGTGCCAGGATTCCCAGTGTACACCACCATGTCCAGAACTAATGGGGAGTTCTGCCTCAGGCAGAAACCAGAAGATTCTACAGGGAGCCTACGGAAGCAAAGGTGGGCCTACAAAACTACCCGAGAAAGAATGATGTTAGAAGAATGCAGGGATCCTGCAGATGAGACAGTAAAATGCACATGTGCCAAGAAAGGGAGGGCTGTTTAAATCCTCCCACAATCCTCCATCCATTTCCAAACTGACCCAATGTTTTCCTGGTCCCTATACTTTCTGACTACAAAAGTTTGATTTTTGTAGTTGTTTTTTTTTTTTTTTTCCTTCCGGAGATTACTGAACCAAAACCTTGCACATTTCAAGTAGGTACTCTACCAACAAGCTCCAATTTTAGCTCCCAACTAACTGAACTCCTTTCATCAGAAATTCCTCTTTAAGGCCTGATGTGGTGGCACTGGCTGTTAATCCCAGCGCTTGGGAGGCAGAGGCAGGCAGATCACTGTAAATTCAAGGCCAGCCTGGTCTAAAAAGCGAGTCCAGAACAGCAAAGGCTACAAAGAGAAACTCTGTCTTGAAAAAAAAAACAAAACAAAAATCCTCTTTAATTATTGTGGACTTCTTCCCGGTTGCCTCTCTTACCTGAGTATTACTTGTCAATCCCTTCCCCAAGGTCCATTTCCCATGAGTACCAGAATCACCTTTTTCTTAGTTGAGATCATATACACAAAGAGAGTTTATGAGCTTCAAGGTCCAGTGTGGAGTAAAACTCTATCAAAAATAAAGCTCTCATCTGCACTACACAATGAGATTGCCTCAAATCACAAAATAAGGGGCTGGAGAGATGGCTCAGTGGTTTGCTCTTCCAGAGAGGACCAGAGTTCAGTTCCAAACACCCACACTGCTGATCACAAACATCTGTTAACTCCATTTCCAGAGAATCTGGCGCCCTCTTCTGGTCCTTACAAGTACAGGTTGCACATGTGTTCACATACATGTAAGTAAAACATCCACACATTAAATAAATAAATATTAAAACAAAACAAGCAAACAAAAAATAAAGCCTTCTTTTAGGGTCAAGGGTATAGTTAAGTAGGCAGAGTATCTGCTTAGCATGCAGAAAGTCCTGAGTTTGCTCACTAGCACAAATCAGTGATAGCATATGTCTGTGATCCCAACTCTATCAAGCTGGAGGTGGAAGGATCAAGAGCTCAGGGTCATCCTTGACTACATAGGGAGTTGTAAGCCATCCTGGGATACAAGAGACCCTGTCAATCATCATAATCATCATCATCATCATCATGCCTCTCAATCAAGGTGGGGTAGTGCATGCAATCTTAACACTCAGGACACTTTGAGTTTGAGACCAGCCCAGGCTACATAGTAAGTTTGAGGCCAGCCAGAGCTACAACAGAAAGAATCTTTCTAATAATAATACTGTTTAGGAGTAAACGAGGGTTGGGTGTGGTAGCACATGCCTGTAATCCCAGCACTCAGGGAGGCAAAGGCAGGTGAATCTCTGTGAGTTCAAGGCCAGCCTAGTCTACAAAGGGAGTCCAAGCCAGCCAAGGCTACACAAAGAAACCCTGTCTCAAAAAACAAACAATAAAGTAAACAAGCAAGTAAGACCTTTTTATCCTCCCATAATTTCTGTCATTCCGTCATGGTATGTCTTACCCCTTCCTCCCTCATATCCTTCGGCTCCTCAGTCACCCAGCAGGTTTGTTTTGGTGCTGAGTAGGGACCAAAGCTATGTGCTGCACACTGGGTAATGTCAAGATGCAGGCAGGCATCTCAGCCCGAGGCCTTGGCAGAGTTCCCAGGCAGAGCCAGCGGTCCAGACCCGGGCAGTAGGCATGGACTAGGTGAGAGATGGCATAAGTGCGGTGACTGTACCCCCCTAGCACCAGTAGCTCCCCCTGTAAGACAGCACCTGCAGCCCCCACGTGGGGGGAGGGCAAGGACGCCAGGCGAGTCCAGCAATCAGTCTTTGGCTCATAGGACTCAAAGCTCAGTAAGTCCCCGGTGTCGCCTATCCCACCTGCCACATACAACTTCCCACCCAGAGTAGCCATCACATGACCAGCCCGGGCTACTCCCATTGGGCTCAAAAGTGTCCCCGGCTTCTCAAGTTTGGGGTCATAGTGCATCAGTGAGTCCAAGTACTGGCCAGTCCCACTGCAGCCACCGCTCACATACAATCGGCCCCCGAGGGTTGCAGCTGCATGGGCAAAGCATGGTGCTGGAAGAGCAGGTGCTGGCCTAGGGGAGAGCAGAACATAAGATCAGGCAACCCGAATGCTCAGCTGTACTTCATTTATTTACTTATCTATCATTTATTTAAGTATGTATGCATGTATCTATCTATCTATTTATTCATTTATTTTGAGAGCTGTTCTGGGCTTGTTTTGTAGACCAGGCTGGCCTCGAACTCACAGAGATCCACCTGTCCTTGCCCCCAAGTGCTGGGATTAAAGGCATGCACCACCACGCCTGGTTCATTTTAAGCTACATCTTACTAATAGCCTAGACTCCCACCTTAACGGTGCCAGGATAACAGGCGTGTGCCACCACACCCAGCTTCGCTTGCCTGCTCCAAATCCAGTTTCTCCCTGATGCTCCTTTGCCTGCTTACCTCCAGACATTGAGTTCAGGGTTATAGGTCTCAACAGAATTAAGGGCCACACCATTGTCTCGTCCACCCAGAGCATAAAGTTGTCCATCAAATACCACCAGAGGGAAGAAGCTCCGAGCCTGGCACAAAGGTGCCATCTCCTCCCAGTCTTCTTGACTGGGGCTCCACCTGGACACAATGGGACAAGACGTGAAGAGGGTGATTCTGGGAGTCTATGGCTGGCTAGATTAGCAATTCCTCTTGCCTGCTCTCATGGGGACCGCCACACATTGATGATACCTGAGAGTTGAAGCCAGAGTGCTGGTGTGGCTGTAGAAATCCTGTCCTCCACACACATAGAGTTCACTTCCTGTTGGGCTCGCTGCTCCATGCCGAAAGCGCCCTGGGGCAGGCAGGTTAGGGAGCCGGCACCACTCCACAGTTCGTACCAGACCCATGCCACAGTGAAATGCCCGGGCCCACCACACTTTGCAAGATGGCTGTCTTCGGTCCATTTCCGGTCTAAGCCCATCCCCACCAATCACCACCAGTGCGTGGTCAGGCTCCCTCCATCTCTCTTGACCCGGAACTTCAGCTTCCACCATCAGCTGATACAGCAGATCTGGGGGCAGAGGTGCGGGAAGCCCTGCCGCCCGCACCTTTCGCAGCTCTCTGGTAGACATGCGGCCAAAGCGGACACATCGCAGCAGGGCTTTGGCGTCTGATTCCTGGGTCTCAGGGTTGGCAGCCAGCCAACACCGTGCAGCTGTGAAAGCCTCAAACTCTTCCTGTACGTGGAGTTCGTCACTGTCCAGGAGCTCAGCCAGGCAGGTGACCGGTAATGATGGGAAGGTAGGGCACAAAGCCACAGCGGGCAGATGAGTGAGGAGGTAACGGTGGGCTTTCCCCCAGACTTTCTCCAAGCCGGGGGCTTCAACCATGGGGAACAAAGCCAGGCAAAGGGCAGGGCAGAGGCTCTGTGCCAAGGCTCGCTGACACAAATCCAGGCAGGAAGAGCTTTGGTACTGCAGCGCAGCCTGGGCAGCCCTTAGCAATCCTGGCCATCTTTCTCGTACAACTCCAGAGTAGGCAAAAGAAACGAGGAGTCTCAGGTCTTGAGAAGAGATAGTACGCAGAGAGACCTTTGAGCCCTGGGACTCCCTCATGCCACTCAGGAGCATGGCCCCAAAGAACTCACTGCCACAGGCCAGGGCCACTCGGTGCACTACAGTGGAGAGGAAGCAGAGAGAACCAAGACTGTTGCAAGACAGCTAACTACAATCCTAAAACTTGTAGCCAAGCTTTGATCTAATCACCCAAGATCATAGGCCAAGCCGTGGTGTACACTGGAACAGCATGGGATGGATTTCATGCTGGGGGTATAGGACAATGGTGGAGCACTCGTCTAGCACGTGCAAAGCCTGGATTCCATCCCAAGCAAAATGCAGCTTTCAGGCCCCTCCCTGGCTTACGTTTCTATAGGTCTAAATAGTGACCTAGGGTATCTTTGCTTTAACCTCTCTCTCTCTCTCTCTTTTTTTTAAGATTTATTTATTATGTATATAATGGGTGTTTGCATGTACACCTAGCACACCAGAAGAGGGGACCAGATTTCATTTTAGATGGTTGTGAACACATGGTTGCTGGGAATTGAACTTATGACCTCTGGAAGAGCAGCCAGTGCTCTTAACCTCTGAGCCACCTCTCCAGCCCCTCTTTCTTTCTTTTTGGAGACAGGTTCTCACTATGTAGGGCTGGCTGGCCTGGAACTCACTATGGAGACCTAACATGGGCTACCATGCCCAGCCTTTATTTTAACATTTTCAAGTACCCTGCATTATTCTCATGTTAGTGTCTGGAGGACACTTTAGTGTTTTAGGTTCATGTCAGTTAGAAAAACAGCCTTAAAGAATCCAGTGGAGAAGATCCTATAGACAGCGTTTGCTAACTGGGGACACAAAACAAACTGAATAGAGCAATTTGCAACTTAGAAATGTATCACTGCATTGTATACAAAATAAGGGTTTTCCATTTGTAGCTTCAAGAGTCTCAGCCATCCTGTCAGAATGGCTATGCCCATGCCACACACAGTGGCACACTTGCTGCTCTTGCAGAGGACACAGCTTTGGTTTCCAGCACCCACTTGGCAGCTTACAGTCACCTGTAAGTCCAGTTCCAGGGGACTGGACACCCTCTTCTGACCTCTATAGGCACCAGACACATATGTGGGGCATGGCATCCATGCAGGCACTCATATACATGTAAAATAAAACAAATAAACTTTCAAGAAGAGAAAGAAACAAGCAGGGGGCAGGCAAGCAAGATGGGCCAGTGGGTAAAGGGAATCATCACCAAGACCAACAACCTGAGTTATGATTGTGGAAGGAGAGGGCTGCTTCCTGCAAGCTGTCCTTTGACTCCACAGTCAAAGCACAGGAGTACTGGAATGCCGTGCTGCTGCGCTCTCTCTCTCTCTCTCTCTCTCACACACACACACACACAGTAATTTTTTTAAGTATAGAAGAATTAAAAATAACAAGGTTCATATGTAAGCTTTTGTAACCCCAGTGACATGGAGACTAACACAAGAGGATCCTGAGTTCCTGTCCTGCCTGGGCTGCAGAATGCACTTACGACCAACCAATTTGATGAATTTTTTTTTTATTTTCATCAAAATAAAAAATAAAACAGAAAGCAAAAGCTCAAATATCCCTTTAAGAGTTTTTTTTTTAAATTTCAATCATGTTTATGAGTGTGTCTCTTTGTGTGGGTATGTGTGTGGGAGTATGGGTTCCCAAGGAGGCCAGACAGTTGTGAACTGCCCAGTGTGGATGCTGGGAACTGAACTTGGGTCCTCTGGAAGACAAGATAGAGCTTCTAACCATGCCATCTCTCTAGACCCTCCTTTATTTTAAAAAATGCATATCCCTCAGTAAAATGCCAACCAGAAATAGTAAGAGGAAATGGACATAGTAGCATATTAATTGTTGAGCTGGTGTGATGAGTGTTTTGAGTGTTGATGTTTGCTTTTGCTTTGTGTTTGAGGTAAGAAAGAGAAACATTCTTCTAGAAGCTGTCTCAGGAAGTCTTGGTCAGGCCTCTGGGTTCCTCATGACTCCTGTGAATTCCATGCTCTTCTGACCAGTTGTGGGATATGTACCTCTCAAAGAGTAACTGATATGAATGATGTTTCCATTGTTTTTTTTTTTTTTTTTTTTTTTTTTTTTTTTTTTTTTTTTTTGTTTTTTTTTTTTTTTTTTTTTTTTTTTTTTTTTTTTTTTTTTTTTTTTAAGCAGCAGGTACTGGCTTGGTGCTTCCCAGATAGCAAACATCAATCACAGCTTCCTAGTCTATTGCTGACAGAGAAAAAAAATCTATAATTCTGGGGAAATGGGCTTAAACCAGCTCATCTTTCATATCACCAAGCAACATTTTTATCTGAGACTCATTGTGAAAAAGCTCACAGCCGCTTGGAATCTCCCTCTTACTCATTCCTGTACCCTAAGATTTAAAGTGATGGGTTCCCGCACGGTGATATGTATATGTTTACTTTCCAAACCGTAGTGAGAATGTTACAACTGTTAGGAAATGTTAAGGTATCGCCCTCTGGCTTTGTGCCACGAGAAACGCAGCAAGCCTTCAGGGACAGCTCTCCCTCTGGAGCACCTCCACTGAGCACTCACTGGTGTGATCAGGCATGGTCTACAGTCAACCAAGGCTGGCCTTGAACCCATGCTACTCCTCCTTTCTTGGCCTCCTGAGTGTTATAGGTGTATATCCATAAGGTCAAGGTGCTATTAGATCTCCTTTTTTCTTTCCTTTTTAATTTTGGTTTGTGAGATAGGAGCTCATAATGTAGTCCACACTGGCCTACGTAGCCCAGGCTGGCCTCAGATTCTAAGTAGTCGTCTTGTCCGGTCTCCTTAGTGCTGGAATTACAGGCGTGAGCCACGACACCTTGCTTGATTTCTTCGTTTGGAAATTACTAGCCCCGATCTAGGGACTCTCTAAGCAAATCTATTGTACCCTAAACATACAGACTCCATTTCCCAGGTCAGATGCGTCTTGGTATAACTGCACAGAGGAAGCAGACTGTAGTCTGCTGCCTTAGTCAAACATACCCAGGAGAGAAGAAGGGCCCCCTAACCGACTGCCTTTTGCTGTGTGTTTAGATGTCGAGGCGCTCTGGCTACTCTGTTTGGGTCAGTCACTTTCTCCTTGTTTTGCTGCCTCGGGCTGTTCTCTAGGCCCTAGCCAGCTGGCTGGAAATTCTACCTACTAGGCAGGAAAGGAAAAAAAAAAAGTGCCTGAACTATCAGTTCAAATCTGTCCGAGCGTCTAGAAAAACAATTCAACTGCGCATGTGCATCTCTTGGTGGCGCTGGAAAAGCACCAGAAAGGACATACTGGCTGGAGCAACGATACAGAAGTACTTGTGAGGGCTGGGTGTGTGATTCGGTGGGGTGGAAGCAAGGCCTAGCAAGGCAAAACCAACCAAACCCTGCGACATGCAGTCTCGGCAGTTGCCCCACGGGCCCTCACCCCGCAGGCGGTAGCCCTCCGCCTCCAGCTCCAAGTCGCACCCGACGCCCTCTCGATACAGACGCTCGATGCTGTGCAGGTTCTCCCTCAGCTCCTCTGCCTGGCTGAGTTCCTTTTCCTCGTCCCTGGCTCTGCCAACCCCTTCTGACCTCAGCCGAGCCGCGTTCTTCACCCGGGGCGCTCCCAGCGCCTCGGCCACAGCCAGCACTTCGTCCCGAGAGGCGGGGCCCAGCACGCCCTCGTAGGCAAAGGTCAGCGCAGCCTCCCAGCCCCTCGGGGCCACCTGGAGGCTGAAGCCGGGGTGCTGACCTCCGCCGCCCAGCAGCCTGCCTCGGAAGAGGCTGCTAATTGCGGCCAAGATCACCCGATGTACCCCGTAGACCTGTCCCCCAACTGACACCTCTTCATCCAGAAGCAGCCCTTGCTCCCGCAGCCGCTGCGCTTCAGCGAAGAACTGCCAGGGGTGCTCCGTGCTACACAGCATCTCAGGCTCTGCTGAGTCATCGCTGCCATCCCGTTCCTTCCCTCTCTCCAGAGATGAAGCTGGAAAGGGAAGGCTTTCTGAAACCAAGGTGCTGGGGTCATGCTCTGCTGGAGAAAAGGGAAGCAAACCGGGATCCTCATCGGGAGAGGGAGACCAGGAGGAGGTTCTTCCGGCAGGCAAGGGGAGTTCAAGACTGTCCTTCTGGATAGAAAGGGAGACATGCTCCAAGTCTGAGGAAAGATGTGCCATCTTCACGGCTCAGGCTTGTGAGATTGCTGCAGGCGAGCAGGCATGAGAGAAGGATGCCCGAGCTGCACTCAGAAAAGCAGAACTGTCTTCAGTTCAGCTGTCAGCCACGCACTCCACCCCAGGCGACACACTAACGTTGGAATAGCGGGCTATACAGAGTTGATTAGAGGGTTCACCAAGGGCAACAAAACCGCAAGCACCTGTAGCCATCCAGCCCAGGGTCAACCCCTGCTCAGTTTTAGTCCCGGGCAGGAGACAGCAGGCTTCTGCTTGCCCTCACTCGAGTTCCCGAGTTCCCAGTCTCACGGCTGCTGTGTGCAGATCTCAGCAGTGCCCCCACTTGGCTAATTATAGCTAGCCCGAGGGCTCAACCCTCATCTCCCAGTGCTGGAAGCTGACACCCAACCCATTGGGCCAAGTCCTGGGATGACTTCCCCCTTCCCTTCCACCTGCAGGTCACAGGGATGTGCTGAGTGGGAGAAATTGCAAGGCAAAGAGAATGCAGATATTGGCCAGAAGGACTGTTTTCACAGCTGGTGGCTGGAAGTGACAGGAGGCTGGTGAAGGAGTCTGAAAAGTCTAGACTATACAACTGAAATTTGGCTCATCTTCCTTAATAGCTGTGGGGTTTTTGGGGGAAAAATCCCTTAACCTCTGCTTGACTTTGTCAGGGGGTTTGTGAATACAATTGCTATACCTCCACAACCCGAGAGGGTTGAGCAAAAACCTCCACGGTAGCCTAACACTTTACAGAACACCAGTGAAAACCAAACTGAAGGTGCAAATCAAAGATGTACATATTTTTTTAAAAACTGGTTTTAATAGATAACATCTTCTGTGTAACTTGCCCTACCCCTTGAGTCTCAAACTTCCTGCGGAAGCCGCGTGAGTGAAGGGATTACAGGTATGTACCACCAGCGCAGCCAGAAAACTGGATTCTAATGGCGCTTGTCCTTCCCTACTCCCTGGGCCACGCTCTAAGAGAATCTGAACTCATTAGTTAGGACTTCCTCTTAAGTTTCTTCAGAAAGAGGAAGCACTTTATAGACCACACCATGTACCCAGCATCCCCAAAGTTCTAAATTCTCAAACTAAAATCAGTAAAGGTGGCTGTCTCCAATATCAACTAGTTGTATCTTGGTTACTTTTCTGCTGCTGTGGATAAGACACCTGACGAAGGCAGCCTCTAGAAGAAAGAGTTTATTGGGGCCTTCTAGTTCCAGAGGGCTAGATAGAGTCCATGATTATCACGATGGGTCCAGAAATCAGCATCTGAATACACAGTGCACAAAACCATCCCCCAACAGAACCATTCCACACATCTTTTAGATCTTTGGTTTCTGTTTTGAGACACTGTTTTTATGTTTTAAAATTTAATTTTAGTATGAAATGTTGTTTTAACACATTGAGATTTAGTTTGCTAGGGACCACATTACATTTCACACTAAGAATTCTCTTCCTAGCATACTGCTAAGCAAAGCCTACATGATGAGTTAAGAACTTGGTGATGAAATTATTTATGCGTGTTAGGATTTTCTGGGTTAACTTGTTTGTTCAAGAATGTAGTTTCCACTATAAATCTGGCCTGTAAATTGGATCTGAGGAAAACAGTTCTGAATGCCAGTAACACGGAATATGACCCATTAAGATTCCTCAGTGTCCCTTTTAATTGTTACATTCTCCTCAGGTTTATTTTCCATTGTGTGATTATGACACTGGCCCATTTCCTATTTTCTTCCCCCCCCCCCTCATACATTCCTTATTTTCTAAAAACAAAATTTTAGTTAAAAAGCTTTCTTAACTCAGAAGGTTAACTATCTTAATTGTTTATTTTTGTTATTTTGAGACAGGGTTTCTCTGTGTAGCCTTGGCTGTCCTGGACTCACTTTGTAGACCAGACTCTCCTTGAACTCACCGAGATCTGCCTGCATCTGCCTCCTTGAGTGCTGGGATTCTAGGCATACGCCACTGCTCCCGGATCAACTATCTCAATTTTTATTTTGACATTATAAAACCATTCATTTTCAGTGCTGAACAAAGTAATAATTGAACAATCCTAGAACTAGATTTTTCCTTTTCATTCAAAATTATTTTTTCACGCCTATTTTCAGCTTTTTGAATTGCCATTATAACTGTAGAAATGTTGTTTGTTTGGTTTTTATTTTTTTTAAAGAACTCAATTCCCAGCACCAATGCCAAAGGTAATAGTGCCCCTGTCATCCTGGCACTAGAGAAGTGTATGTTGGCCGGCCAGTCTAGCTGAACCTGGGAGCTACAAGTCACTGAGAGATGCTATCTCAGAAAACAAGGTGAAGAGCAATAGAGGAAGATAGACATCAACCTTTGGCCTCCACATGTGCACACATATACACTTGTACAAATGCCTCTCCATGAACACATACACACACATACACACACACACACACACACAACCAGTAGGGTTTTTATGTTGTTTGTTTGTTTGTATTTTAAGCTCTTAAGCAATATCTCAAAGCTTCTAGGACCCGGGCACCAGGCCTCTGCCTTTCAAGTACAGTCACGCCACTTTTAGGCCTAGAGTTTGGCAAAAAAAAAAAAAAAAAAGAGATGGATAATCTTAGTAAGTGTTCTATTTCTGTGAAGAGACAGCATGACACAGGCAACTCTTATAAAAGAAAGCATTTAATTTGGGACTTGATTACAGTCCATTATCATCATGGCTGGGAGCATGGTGGCAGGAAGGCCTGGTGATGCTGCAAAAGGAGCTGTGAGCTACATCCTGATCTGCAAGCAAAGAGACTGGGCCTGGCACGGACTTTTCAAATCTGAAAGCCCACCCCTAGTAACACACTTCCTCTAACAAGGCCATATCTAATCCTTTCAAACAGGTCCACTGGCTGGGTGACTAAACATTCAAACCATCACAGCTGGTCAACAGGTACAAAATCACAAATAAATAGCAACAAATTCTGTTATTTTACTGTACCCTGTACCCTAGGATAATTACAGTTAAAAAATCATGTATATTTCAGAATTCCAGGAGATTTTGAATGTTTCACCAGAAATGATGAATGTGTGAGGTGATGGCTGTTTTCAACACAATGACCTGATATACAACATATACATGTATCAGAACAGCTTATGGCTCCCTGTAAACCTGAAGAAGTATTTATCAGAAATCAGCAGAGCTGTAGCAGGAACTGCAGTGTTGAAGCGATGTTAAGAAAGGCTGTTTCACTAGGGGGTACACCTTCCTCTCCATGAAAGGTAAGCTTCAGGTTTGGGGTTCTGAGCAGGAATGTGAGTACATCTCCTAGATGCAGAAGACCAGAGGTTACTTCCCAAATACATGCATCAGTTACTGTGTTAGTTAATGCAGATACGTTTGTGCATTTTATACTGGCAGGTTGCATGTACAGCAGCTAACCCGGAGGTGCTTGTAGTGTGAACTCACACTCACTCACCTTGATGATTGTTAGATGTCGGATGCAGGTTTCTGGTCTAGGAAATACCTGAAAACCAAGAATCTGCATGAATGCAATGAGGCCTCCAGAGGCCACCTTAGGAGAGGACAGATTTTAATCCGGTGGCAGTTTTGCTCAGTACAGCCTGGTCTTTTCCCTGGGTGCCAAAAACATGATTGTGATAGTCTGTGTGAAGGTCTTTTGAGATAAAAAAAAAAAAAAAAAAAATCAGTGAATTCTTGTCCTTTTAATAATTGCTTACGTAAACTCAAATCCCCTCTGCCTAATATCCACATTTCCCCCCTTTGGTAGCTGGGTAGACCTGGGGCTCAGGGAAGGAGCCTATATTTAGTTTGGCATAAGCTGGCTTCCCCCCACTCCCTGCAAACCTTAACAGTTGGAAAATCCCGAGTAATGATGGTACCTCATTCCTCCCTACAAAAGCCACAGCTTTCATGCAGGAATGCAGGACTGTGTGCGTGAGAATGCACACCGTGAGGACTTGATGAATTATGAATTAGAACTTCGCCAGGAAATGGCTTGAATTCATGAAAAAACTAAAGACAAGAATTAAAATTTCAGAAGTCCTGCTTTTTCTTTGGACCATCACAGTGGTTTTCCTTTTGTGTGAACAGAGTTGTTACAGTGAAGAACGCCTTGTTCTTTTTAAAAATTTATTTATTTATTCATTACAATTTATTCATTTTGTATCTTGGCTGTAGCTCCCTACCTCATCTCCTCCCAGTCACATCCTCCCTCCCTCTTCTTCGTTCGCCTATGCCTCTTCCCTAGTCCACTGATAGGAGAGGTCCTCCTTCTGTTCTCTTTGACCCTAGCATATCAGGTCTCTTCAGGGCTGGCTGCATCACCTTCCTCTGTGGCCTGACAAGGCTGTAACCCCCAGGAGGAGGTGATCAAAGAGCCGGAATGCCTTGTTCTTTAAAATGTATTATAAGTGGGAAGCACTATAAATCAGCATAGTTTGGGCAACTGTGGGTGGAGACAGAGCCATGTCAACCATTAGATTTGGACAGGAGAGAGTTGCTATGCCATTCCTCCCCCACTCCCACCCTGGCACATCCTGGGAAATCTCACTGCAGACAGAAGCCACTTGCCTGGGCTCTGAGTGAGACTTGACTCCCTTGCATGGTCTTTTCTTCCCTTTAGGAATTAATATAAAATATTTTATTTCTGATGGCTTAAATCACATTTACATTTATTGTACAAAATCAAACTTCTGAGATTGCATCAGCTACTCATATGCAAAGGGTTTCTACTGTGGGAACTATAAGGTCATCTTCACTTTTGCAGTTGTGGAAAGTCCATGTTCCCCATCATGTAACCCACCTGTCAAAAATGAGGATGCACTAGAGACACCGTGCCCCTCCCACTCAGCTATCAGACTGGGAAGCCAGGCGCCCCCAGGAACTAAAATTTCTCCCATGGAACTTTATGCTGGAAGGCCATGATAAATGTGTCTCTAGAGGGAGATTTCACAGCACTGCAGGAAGAATTCCACAAGGTGTAGCATGCAGGACAGAGCTTGGCAGGCTTAGGTGGTGGTGAGTTCCTAAGGATGGTCTGGACAGATAGGAGTCATGGCAGCCTTCAGTTCCAACAGTGAACATCTTTTTAACTCTTGGAGTAAACCATCCCCCCAGAACTCTGGTCCACCAGAAGGCAACTTTACAAATAACT